ATAGGCTGCAGGAGACGAGATTTTTTCTTCTCCCCTCCGAGCTGTCTGCCTGGCAGAAAAGAAAAACCCAAGTTCGATGAAAGTCCGTGGAAAGCTAAGCAACTCCTGGCTGAGCGGGGAAGGAAGGGCTCGCAGGGGTGGCCGGACGCAAACGGAGGGCATTAAATGGCAATGTTGCTGCTTGACCTCCCCGCTGATGCGAAGGTGCCGTGGTTAATGGCTCATTTCATGAGACTGAAGTCGCCGGCACATCCGTCTCTTGGCTGATCCCGGGCCCCATCCTCCGAGGCGGACAGGACACGCCGGACGTTCTGGAAAACCCGTGGTTCCGCCACACTGATGGGCGGCCTGCGCTTGGAGTGGAGCGTGCGATCCAGGCCACCGGTGCCTCTCACTGTGTCATCGCTTTCCTTTCCGGCCTCTCCCCCGGCGATGGTGGCGTCTGCGTCTGGGGCAGTGCCTGGCCCCGGGGGACGCAGGGAGAGCGAGGGAGGGGGTTGCTGGCTGTATGGCTGCTTCCACTCTATCAGCGCCGCTGACCCCAAACGAGAGAAGGCAAGATGATGAGGGGAAATACAAAGGCAAGCTGCCCGCTCAGGCACCACTGCGAGGGCCCGGGCTGGGAGGTGGCCGGCGGGGTCCCCGGGAGGTGGCCGGAGGGGTCCCCGGGTGCTCCCAGGGCAGCCGGGCCTGAGTGCGGCTTCCATGTGTAGCACTGAGCAGGTGGCACGGAACGTGTCCTGTGCCATGAGCCGCAACTAGGGGCTCTGGATGGAAAGTCCTCTGTGTTGGTTTCCTTAAGGGACACAGAGATGCCCCGCAGCAGAGGCCGTGTGACGACAGCGCAGGGAGGGGAGCCACGCAGCCACAGGCCGAGGCTCGGCCACATCAGGAGCTGGAGAGAGGCCGGAGCAGAGTGTCCCTGAGTCTCCAGATGGAGGCCCCTGCCCACGCCGCCAGTGCAGACGTCTGGCCTCCACGGCTGCAAAAGGGCAAAGTCCTGGTGTGTCAAGTCCCGGGTTTGGCCTGTTACAGCAGCCCCTTGGCTTCTCCCTGAGGGACACGGGCCCCTTCTGTCGGGCAAACGTGGTTCAGGGGCTCCTCAGGGGTCCCGCGGGAACTTTTTCTTTTTAATATTTTTAAATGTTTATTTATTTTTGAAGGAGACAGACAGAGACAGAGTGTGAGCGGGGGAGGGGCAGAGAGAGAGGGAGACACAGAATCCGAAGCAGCTCCAGGCTCTGAGCTGTCAGCACAGAGCCCGACGCGGGGCTCGAACTCACAGACCGTGAGATCATGACCTGAGCCGAAGTCGGATGCTCAACCGACTGAGCCACCCAGGCGCCCCTTGCCTCCAATATTTTAACACAAATCTCATACACCGCGTTGTTCCCCCTGCGAACTTGAGCACGCATCTCCTCAGGGGATGGGGTGCTCCCAGAAGGGGCATGTTCGACCACAGCAGCCATGACCCCAGCACGGCCGTCACCTTTACTGATAAGTGATTCCTTGGTGTCCTCCAGGCCTCGCTGACACTCCCAGGTGGTCTCAAAAATGTCTTTTTATGGCACTTGGCTCCATTTCTGGATAAGATCCCACCTCTGCACCTGACAAACCCATGCTTTCCATTGCAATGTGCCCCGTTTATTGAAAGGTCAAGTGTAGGCAAGTCGCTTGACTTCGTTCGGTTTGCCCAGCGTATAGCGTCCACCTCACTGGGGTTTCAGAGAATTAAATGAGGTCATTCATTCATTCAACAAATGTGTATTGAGTCCAGTGTCTGGGACTGTTATAGATGCTGGAGAAACAGCAGTGAGCACCCGGCTGCCTGGAGCTTAGGGCCCAGTGGAGGAGATGATGCTCCCACAGACTGTCGGCTGGTGGCGAGTGCCGGGGAAGAAAATAAAGCAGGCCTACAGGAGGGGAGGAACGGAGGCGGCCAGAGACCTCCACTCAGACACAGCGGCCATCAGAGGCCCGAGTGAGCAAGGGGAAAGAAAGTTCCGGACGGATGAGCAAGGGGGAGCGGCAGCCCGTCTGGTACGTTGGAGCTGCCCTTGTAAAATGTGTCTCTTGTTATTTACATTTAGGCATGAAAACTGAGGGGCGCCTGGGTGCCTCCATCAGTTGAGCGTCCAATTCCTGATTTCAGCTCAGGTCATGGTCTTACGGTTTGTGGGATCTAGTCCTGTGTCAGTCTGTTTGGGATCCTGTCTCTCTCTCTCTTTCAAAAAAAAAAAAAAAAAAAGGGAACAAAAACTGAGACATTTAAAAATAAGTATAACAACAAACTATTAAAAAATAAATTAAAACTAAGTATAATAATGTGTTAATCAGAAATTCATTGTATATCAACATAAAAATAATGTATTTTTTAAAATGGAAAATAACTCTTTTCCAAAGCAAATAATTTGGGTGAAAAGAGTGGCATTATGGTAGATTTCTGTAAAGCTCTTTAATGTCTGGCTTAATAAGGAAACAGCTGGGTTCTCGTATCTGCTGCTGAATTCAGTCTGTTGTGATATGTTGCTTTGATTGAAGTGTGTGGAGAAAAGCCAGCCTTGCACAGGGAACATGGTGGGGAAAGGGAGGGAGGGGTGTTTTCCTAAAAAGTATGTATCTCTGGGCACCTGGGTGGCTCAGTTGGTTAAGTGTCTGACTTCGGCTCAGGTCATGATCTTGCGGTTCATGAGTTCGAACCCCATGTCAGGCTCTGTGCTGACAGCTCAGAGCCTGGTGCCTGCTTCAGATTCTGTGTCTCCTTCTCTTTCTGACCCTCCCCTGCTCACACTGTCTCTCTCTCTCTCAGAAAGAAACAAAACATTTAAAAAAATCTCCTTTGTTACTATCCTCATCAACCCCACCAGAAAAAAGCTTTAAGTACTGGGAAGCTTCCCAGCTCACAATGGTGGATATGTTTTTCAAAATTCCAATTTTTGTTTGAGACCTTGAATTTCATTACCAATAATAAATCCAGTCAAATGCACCATATCCTTCCTGCGCAAACATCACCTTCCTTTCCCAAGGAGTCTGGGGATAATGATGGTTTCTACCACTTATTGAGCTCTTAATGTTTGCCGGACATTTGACCAAACAATTTATATATGTGATCTTGTTAGTCACTACATCTCTGCAAGGTATTGTTTCTCGCATTTTGCCAATGAGGAAACTGAGATCCAGAGAGGTTAGGTACTTGCCCACGGTCACACAGCTAATGGTAACTCCTCTATATCATCAGAATTCCAGAATTTTCCAGGTAGGACAGGCCTGATAGGAATAGTCTGCCCTCTTGGATGTAGGAACGAAATGGATACTCCTAAATCATGTATCCACTGATTTAGATGGGGAAATAGGGTCCCTTCTCAAAACATGCTGGGCCATTCTTTCATGGTCTGTGGCAACATACTTGCAAAGTCGGGTATTATCCCCTGTGTTAATGTCCTATTGTTGCTGTAACAAATGATGACAAATTTACTGGTTTACAAATGATTATTTTACAATTCTGTAGGTCAGAAGATTTACTAAAATCAAGGTGCGGGCGAGGCTATGTTCCTTCTGGAAGAACTAGGTAAACATCTGCTTCCTTCCGTCTCCTAGCTTCTAGAGACTGCGTGCATTCCTGGGCTTGTGACCCTCTCCTCCAACTTCAAGGCCAGCGGTGTGCCATCTTCAGATCAGTTTCTCCTTCCCTCCCCACTCCGCTTCTGTTGCCAAACTCCCCTGCCTGATTGTTTGAGTCTCTGGCCTCCTCCTTCTTTTCCTTATAAGGGACCTTGGGCTTACAAGGGTCTCGCCCAGATAATCCAGGAAGATCTCTTCATCTCAAGGTCCTTAATTCTCAGGGTCCTCAATTTCATCGCATCGTTTTTGTCACATGACGTCATGTAGTCACAGACTTCCAGGTATTAGGACGTGGATATTTTGGGGAAGGGATGGGGGCTGGCCTTATTTTGCCTACCATATCCCTTTTTACGAAAGATTCACAGAAAGGTTAAGTAACCTGCTGAAGTTCACACAACCAGGAAGTGGGTGAGACAGGATTTAAATTCAGGCCCGTCTTGACTCTGGGTCCCTCCGATGCCCCTAAACTCATTGCAAAGACCAGGGCCTGCCCAGCAGCGTAGGGTCCACGATGCTTGTTGCAATTTTCTCTTTACCATCTACCTCCCCATATTGAAATCATGTGTTATTATCTCTGTGAGTGGTTTGGGAATTAGAACGAGGTCTTACTTATTATACTTTTTATTTTTTGTTCACACAGCGGTATGATAAAAATCAGATATCCACCACCATAAGACACCAATGGGTTTTCATATACCTTTGTCTTTATCCAGGCGCAGATAGAATTTTTCTGCTGTTGTAACCAGAGCATGGATACCATATTATATTGCTTCCCCAGGTTTTTGTTACATAATTTTTCAAACATACAGAAAAGTTGATAATGCCGCTTTGATCTCACTGTTAGCATTTGCCTCATTTGCCTTCCACGTATATAGTTGTGCATCTTTATATACTGTTTTTTGTTGAACCATTAAAAAATAACTTTCAGTCATTCTGACATTGACCCCTAAATTCTTCAGATGCATATTCTTTTAAAAAATTTTTTTAATGTTTTATTTTATTTCTTTCTGAGAGAGAGAGAGAGACAGCGTGAGCAGGGGAGAGTCAGAGAGAGAGGGAGACACAGAATCTGAAGGAGGCTCCAGGCTCTGAGCTGTCAGCACAGAACCCAACGCGGGCTCAAACCCTCGAACCGTGAGATCGTGACCTGAGCTGGAGTCGGACGCCCAACTGACTGAGCCACCCAGGCGCCCCTTCAGATGCGTAGTCTAACAATAAGAACATTCTCTCATGTGAGCACAATATCATTAGTATGCCATTATAATTACCAGTAATTCACTGACCTCACCTATCTCCAAGCCATACTCCAATTTCTCCAAAGGTCAAAAGATATTTACCAAACACACAGGATCCCATAAAGATTCACCCACTGCACCTGGTTATATTTTTAGCTCTTTTATTTTAGAACAATTTCCTCCCTCTCATATTTTTCATGGCATCCCATTTTTGAAAAGGTGAGGCCCTCTGACTTAGAATGTCGCTCTGGATCTTACTGTTGGCGTCTGCTGCGGAGCATGGGGGCTGGCAAGAGTAACCTCTGCGAGTACCTTTGTGGAGTAAGTGAGCCCAATGACAAGGGCTGTGAGCAATAATCACAATAGCTGCTCTTTTTGGTTTGCTTGTTTTTGAGAGTTGGCGAATTTGTCCACACTCATCTAATAGGATCTTCGCAGAAATCCTATGGGTTCAGAAATTATATTAGTCTCATTTATAGGTGAGGAAAACAAAAAAAGCTTAAGAAAGAGAAGTAACCTGTCAGAACTCAACTCACCTAGAAAGGGGGCCCAACCAGATGGTTAAGTGGGTGGCCGGGTAGGGGGCTCCCTGTTTCTGCAATCAGTGACCCGCAAGTTGATTTGTCTGCATAGGTGCGTGCGTGTGTGTGAGAGGCGACACTTACTGGGCGCTTCCCATTTGCCAGGCCCCAGTGCCAAGCGCCTTACGTGTGCATTGGAGTCTTCTCCGCTGTCTGGCAATAGGCGTGGCCCAGAGTGGGCGCTCCGACAACGTCTGTGGGCTGAACAGGGAATACGTGAATGAATGGACGGAAGTGTTACCGCCAGGAGCACCGGGAACTCCTACCGGGCCCCCCGCGCTCATATGGGAGACCCCGGCCTAGGGAGACCTTGGCGTTCGGCGGCCCGGGCCGACCTCAGGTCCGCGGCTCGGGGCTCCGGACGTCCCGAGTCTCGCCCAGCACCCCGGAGGCCTGCCAGCAGGTGAGAGGCCCGGGCCGGCTGGGCGCTTTGGCATCATCGCCTCCGATCCCCGCCCTGTCTCCTTGGGGGACCGCGGCCGGGCCCCCCAGTGCGCGGCCCGGCGGCCCGCACGGCGCAGGGGCGCGGGCCCAGAGTCCGCCAGGCCCGCTCCCGCCGCGCACGCCCACCTGTCGGCCGCGCATGCGCACCAGGCGCCCGGCGCGCCCGGCCGCCCCGCGCCCCGCGGCGCGCGGCCAGTGCGCAGGCGCGGCGGCCGATGCGAGTGTGTATGTGCGGGCGAGAAGATGGCGGCGGCGGGGGAAGCAGCGTGAGGAGTCGGACGAGCCCCGAGGCTCATTGAAACGGGCCGCCATGGCCCTCCGCAACCCGCAGGTAGCCGCCCGCCCGCGCCCTGGGCGGGAGCGGCCTCGAGCCGCGACGGGCGGCCCCGGGGCGGGCGGGCGCACCCTGCCCGGAGCGAGCGTGTGGGAGTGGGGGAGGGCGCCGGGACACGCTGCCCCGGACTAGGCCCCGGCCGCCCGCCGCCGCCCCGCGCGGAGCCCGCGGGGGCCCGCCGCCGGGGAGCAGCGGGGAGGGGCGCCGGGCCGCCTGCGGGGGCCGCGGGGCCGCGAAGGGGTTAACCCCCGGGTGGACCGCGGGGGAGCCGGGGGTGCGGAGCGGGGCCCCCCAGGCGCCCGGGGAGAGGCCGCCGCGGGGGGGGGGCTTCGAGAGGCCCCGCCGCGGCAGGGCTCTCCGGACCCCCGGGTCGCCTCTGGGCGCGGAGCGGGACCCCGAGGCGTGGGGGTGCCCCGCTGCCCCCACGCCCCCAAAGGTTGCTTCCTCGGCCTGGTTGACCGCGGGGGGCTTGCTGGTTTTCTGGCTTGTGGCCTCGAGTCGCTGGGGAGCAGCCCGAGGCTACTGTTACAGAGAAAACTGAAAATCAAGTCGCCAGGACCATACTTTTACTTGCATCAGAGTGACATCTTTTGCACGAACCCATCTCAGCCTGGCTGACGCTAACGCGCCGTGTCACGGCGGTATCCGAAGTTTAGGGACCGTTTATAATAATCCCGGAGTGAAGAGAAAGAGTGAGACGCCCGTCTCTCTTCTAGGGAGGGGCACGTGTAGACTTGACCCCCCCCCCCCCCAATTTACAGTGACTCTGGGTATTACCGCTGTTCCCGGGGTGTTATCTTCCAGGTTTGCTTTAGACCGCTGGCTTTTGACGTCTAATCCCTAGAAATTATGGCACTTTATGGCGTCCCCGTGTGCTTTGGTTTTGAAATGTGGGAAAGCGAAACAAAGTAGCTCCTGGGAGAACTGGTGGCCGGTGAATCCCCTCTGCGAACTGTTGGTTGTCTCGCCCTTTGGAAATGAAGTCGATTTTAATAGCTGTTGAGATGAATGCCTATCGTGAAATTTAAAAGGCGAAGACTTTTTTGTTTTTAAGGGAGATCTTCCAGGAGGCTGGAATGTTGTCAAATTTTTGATACTTTAGTTTGCAGAAGTTTCTCTCTTTAACTTTTCGTTCACTTGTTCATCCAGCTTTGTATTCAGTATGGTTCTTTGCACAAAAAAAGGGGCTTAGTATTTGAGTACTTTTCTACACACGTGTAATTGAAAGATTTTTTTTTAAAGAGATTCGATATTTGTCCTTTTCTCATCTTATTAACATGAATAGTTAGCTCATTGTTAAAATTAGTATGAACAGGTACAAGATTCATTGTGAACTAATGTGTAATGTATTCGTAGTGATTTTGCAATGAACAAGGCATGTTTAGTCTTAATTCGGTCCATTATTTTTTTTTCAAGATTTTATTTTTTACGTAATTTCTCCACTTGACTGTGGGGCTCAAACTCACCACCATGAGATCAAGAGTTGTGTGGTCTGCCTACAGAGCCGGCCAGGCACCCCAATTCAGTCCATTATCAAAAACACCAATTACAATGCAAAATTGATTTAAATGATAATTAGCCGTGACAATATGCAAACTTAATTGTGATTTCATTTACATTCATTGTCCTAGTATTTACGTTTCAAACAATATTGCCTGTACCCATCTTTAGAAAATTGCATTGGCAAAAGTCAGTTGAACAAGAGTTAGCAACTCTTTGAGTTTATCCTTTTAATGGGTTTATCTTTACGTATAATTTAAATGCTTTTAAGTTCTAGCATGGAGAAAGTCGCAAAGGAATGGTTTGTTTTCTCATAATCTTTTTCAAACAGTAATGAAAACAAGTAATGAAATAACGTGACACGATTTGATAATTGTATACTGCTTGAATCGGATTTAAAAAAAATTATTTATTTTGGGAGAGAAAGAGAAAGCAGGAGTGAGAGCTCGTGCACGAGCAAGGGAGGGACTGATGGGGGAGGGGGAGAGAGAACCCCAAGGCGGCTAGGGCTGGAAGCCCAGGAAACGGTGAGATCACGACCTGAGCCATCATCAAGAGTAGGACATTTAACAGACTGAGCCACCCAGGCACCCCTGGCTGAACACTTTAATACATTTGTTTTATTAGACCTCTGTCCTAAGACCCCTGCAGCATTCACTGGTCATTCATTCGTTAATTCCATAGGTAGTAAGTAGTCACTTCCCACGTGTGAAGTACCATGAGATGCATATAACTGTGTACAATTGGGAATGACAGCCGCAAATGAACAGTAAGGGTTTTGTATTAAAATTGGATTGTTGGGGCGCCTGGGTGGCTCAGTTGGTTAAGTGTCGGACTTCAGCTTGGGTCACGATCTTGAGGTTTGTGGGTTCTAGCCCCGCATCAGGCTCTGTGCTGAGAGGCTCAGAGCCCGCTTCTTGGATCTTCTGTCTCCCCCCCCCCCGCCCTTCTTCTGCTCTTTCTCTCTCAAAATAAAGAAGTAAACTTTAAAAAATAAGATAAAATTGGATTGTTATGTTTACAGTGTTGAATATACAGATCAGATTCTACTTCCGTGTTATTGATTGAACCCTGTTCCATGGATTGAAGTGAAACCAGTGGAAAGCTTGGAAGCATTTCAGACGCCCAGAGCTTTCAGCATTTTAACAGATATAAAGGGTGAACTTTGACAATTGAAGTGTAAGCACCTCTCTAATTTATGAGTGCTTGAGGTCTTGATGGAATGCTTTGGGATAATTAGTTTGAACTGACCAGTCCTTCCTTAAGCCAGAAGAGACGTTTGCGGTCATTGAAGTTGTAGTAAAACCCCCTCAGCAGTGCCTTCGGCACCCTGTTTGGGCATCGCAAGGCTTCCTGCCTTGGTCCTCTGGAGCAGGCTCACTCCAGGCTTTTCATGGCCTCGCAGCAGTGGGCCCCCACATTTTACATGATGGAATTTCTTGGATCCCCTTTACAGCATATGGCAGACTGTTACTGTGTGGTTGACTGGCAGCTGTATTAGTAGTAATTCTCAGAAGATACATTTTGATTGGAGTCCCACGTAGCGAGGCAGCTGAAGCAAATACAGGGATTTGAAATACAGGATATTTGGAGATGCTGACTTTCCTTTGCATGGTGACAGCAAAATATGAAACGACATCCTGAGACGAGGTAGGTTCACGTTGGTGAGCGGACGGCCGCCTCCGTGGCTTGCAGAGCGGCGGTGCTGGCGAGGCACGGCGCGCCCCTGTCCTGTGCTGGTGGGACCACAGTTCGCTGAGATGGCAGCGAGCGCTCAGCCCACCTGCCTCATTTTAAATCCCTCCCTCGAGACAAGTGAGGGACGTTCCGGCGCGCTCTTCTCTTACGTGGGGTGCGTGGTTCACAGAGCCCGATGTGGGAGAGCTTCCAGCACCAACAGAGCGCAGGGACTGCTTCGTGCCAGACCTGGTGGCACGCTTACTCTGCTTGTGACTGTTATTCAGGAACGGGAGAAGAGTTGTGTCCTCTGAATTATTGGCCATGTCAGGGCTATTTTTTTTGCTCGGTTTTGTGTCTGTACGGATGTGGCGTGTGAGTTTTTGCTGTTAATAGATCCGGTTTTTCAAGAGGATCCTTAAAGGAGGTTGCTGAGCACACTTGTTGCTGCTCCCGTGCTAAAGTATGGAAACCGTAAGAAGAGCTTGGTTTTGGGTTTGTAATTAGGCTGCTGCATCTCTGTTTGCTGCTTCCCGTGGAAGAACCACCGTGCACAAAACAGATAAATCTGTTTGCAATGGAATTAATTGGCCTTGGGCCATTGGATTACTGTCATTTGTCACGTTAGTGCTGCTTCAGCAGTGTAGATACTCATTTCCAAAGACTTACATGTGCTTGGATTGCAGTTTGCCCGTTTATTGAAGTGATCTCCCCAGAGGTCTTTCTGTGACCATTTCTGTCACTACAGACGGGATTAAGAACCGTGCGGGCAGCGTCAGAGTAGCCCGTGGGGCATGTTCATAGTATTTGTTTCAGGATCAGACGTTGTAGAATCCATCATAAACCTGGAGGTGGAGCCTTCGGAAGGTGTACTTCTTACCACCTGGCTGTTTTCTGACGGTTCGAGAGCTCCTCAGCCACGGTTCGAGAGCTCCTCAGCCACGGCCCCATCCCAGCAGATGACCTGGGGCACCGGGAGACCCTCTCCTGGGGGTAGAGGAGGGGCGGTGCAGAGACGGGGGTGGGGGTGCGGTTTCGGACTGAGAGAGGAAGGTGATGCAAAGAGAAGTAGAGCATGTTACATTTTCCTGGAGTCCCCTTTCCTGGCGTGCTGGAGGGCCGTCAGGGGGCAGCGTGCCTGTGGCGGCAGCCCAGGGCCTCTGCCGCTGCCGTCCCTGTCGTGACCCTCGGCCCGTCTTCTGGGCGTTGTCTGCAGCTTCGTGGTTGTCAGTCTTCAGATCAACGCTCACTTTATGTTTTTGGTATCAGCTTGAGGGCCCTCTTCTCCCTCTCCGTCTCCCTCTCCCTCTCCCTCTCCCTCTCCCTCTCCCTCTCCCTCTCCCTCTCCCTCTCCCTCTCCGTCTCCGGCTCCCTCTCCCAGCTGCTGCATGACGGGGGGAGGGGCCTCCTCATAGCAGGCGTGGGCCCCCCACTCTTGTACCTTGGGTGCTTGATTTTCACACCAGATGCCTCTTTCTCTCCCTCTTTCTTTCTCCCCCTCTTAACACATATGATAGTGGCAGGCTTTGTTTTCCTTGTCCTTATTATATGAGGAAGAAGTTTTTTTCGTCTGTGTACGTATGCACGTTGCTGGCCGGGTGGGGTGGGGAGCGCGGAGGGCCCAGAATAGGGCACCCCCTGGAGCTGTCGTTCTGAGAGGAGGCCTGCGGGCTGTGCTGGAAGTGGCGGGGATGGCTTTTCAAACTGCTGTCTCAACTGGGTTCTCACTGTCCACAAAACAGTTGTTTACCATCATTGCGAGTACATGTCAGAAATACTCACGTGGTAAAATGCACTGAATAAAGCTAGATGTCTGTGTA